ACTCAGCCTTCTTCTTCTTCTAATGTCCAAAAGCCTTCCCAGAATTCTCCTTGTCCAATTATCCTGCCTATACTTCCTGCCTGGCTACTGGCCAGTCAGCTTTTTATTTATCAACCAATCAGAGCATACAGACCATCCCACAGGACAAGTGTGTTGTCTCTCTGGCTCCTGGAACCTGCCATGCTCTCCAGAGCACCCACCACACGGCTGTCTCCCTGCTGCACCTTCCTAGGCCCCACCACATGGGACACTGTCTAGATACTACGATGCCTGCCCCTTTCCCCTTACTCGAACCCTCCTTGTCTCCCTGCCTGCTCCCCCGAGGAGCTGCTGACTGCTAAGTCCTGCAGCTTCTGGAAGCCCTTCTGGGCCTCTTCCACCTTGTCCCTCCCATCTCTCGGCTCCCTCTGGAAGTCTCACAGCTCCTCTATGCCCTCCTGGGTATTTTTCTTGTCTCTCAGCTCCCACTTGGAGCTTATGGAAACTCCCTTTCATGGAGTTCGTTTTCCGGCCCTTTCTCTCTTCCTCCACAGACTCAGATTTTATTAAAGGCTTGCTCTGATACTACAAACAGGTTGACCTCAGTACAGCCCAATGACCAGAATTGGCATGCTCAATTTTCAAATTCTCTCATATGGTAACACCTCCTGCCACCGTACAAACAAATGATCCGAAAATCTCTTATATCTAAACTTGCTCTCTCCTCCTCTATTTCTTACTTATAGCTGTCTGGGGTAGCTCTTACATGTTAGGTGTTTAATGTCCAAAAGACCCCTCTACCTCTAACCAACAGCCCACCCTACAAGGGTTGGGAGATTGCTTTATCTCAGGCTGCCAAAGGCCAATCTAGCTCTCCTTCACTGGGGCTCTCCTCATGCCTGTTTTCTCTATGACCAAAGGGAATATTGTGTACGAAATGGCCAGAAACTTATGGATGTTGCCCATATCTGTCCTGCAAATACCACGAGACAAATCTGGGTCGTCCTGACTCCCCTTTCTCATCTTTACATACAGGAGCAATCCACCTCTACATGCAAGACCCACGGGACACCAGATGGGAGGTGTCATTGGCAAACTGTTATGACCTGTTCAGGAAGTGGACTACAAGCATGGTCAAGATACAAAGAGAACACCCTTCCCCCAACACCTAGGTATAGAAAAAAATAGAAGCTGTGATCCAGCATTCATCAAAGCTTCTTACCTCCCTAATGGCTCCCCTTTTGGATGACACTAATCCCATCTCTCTGTCCCCACGGTCACTCCATCTCGATTCAGACCTTAACTTCTGAATATCAGCTACTAAATAACACTCTGCCTGGCCACCTTGGAGAATGCTGGTTGTGTGTCCCTCCTGGGTCAAAGTCATAGCCGGCATTTGTGGCCTCTCCCATTAGCCTATTAGACTTTCTTACCTTGCTGCTCATTAACTGCTCTGAACCAGTGATCACTGCCACCCCTTATCTTTCCCACATCTCTCTCTTCAGTATCGCAGACTGCTTTAACTCCTCAGGGATTCATCTTATGGGCACACTGGATTCTTCAGACTGTAGCAATACCCCAGCCCTCAGTACCACCATCCAGCCCATATCCCTGAATGTTCACAATGCCTCCACCATTCACGGCACTCAAATTTGCTGCTGCCTGCCTGCAGGATGGTCTGAGTCTTGTACCCTGTTGTTCTCTTCCCTAAATTAGGGGTGACACCCAGTAAAGAACCTGCTGGTTCACAATTTCATCTAGGACCTCCAACCAGTGGCTCAGACCATCCTTACCCTCCAGGACCAAATAGACTCACGAGCCACTATAGTGCTACGAAATTGGTGAGGATTAGATCTTCTAACGTTGGAGAAGGGTGGCCTTCTCCTCAGGGAGGAATGTTACTTCTGTGTCAATCAAGAGAGTGTAGCAAAAAACAAGACCCAACACTCCAGACAGGTCTCCAAGTCATAAGGAACAGCTCAATGTCTCTGGCTGGTGGATCGTTGATGTTCCACTATGGACGTTTCTTAACCCCCCTTCTCCTTTTCCTAATCCTACTAACTGTTCCCTGTCTTATAAACTTCTTATCTAGATTTCCTCAACGACAAATTAAAAAAAATTCTAACCAAACCTTTAATCGGTTGTTATTACAGGATTATCAGCCCCTACCTACAGAATCAGAGGCCCACAACCCCCATTAAGCCCTAAAGATAAAGATCAAGCTTGCCTCAAGGACTTTGATGCTGCCACACAGCAGGGAGTAGTCTAATGATAACATTGCCCTCTTTCCTGAGCCCTGATTAGTTATCAATAGTAAACTAAGAAGTGTGGAATGTAGGGTAACAGGCCAGTGGAAAACCTCCCTGCCCCTGGCCTGTCCCCAAACCTGAGACTTGGAAACCCCCACCCTCATGATGCACAATTAAAGGCAAGCAATACTTACACCCACGCAGTCCTTTTCCTCTAGCTCACTGTGTATGCTCCAAAGACCTCATAAAAGCCCGCCCCCTTGCCCAGTCCCCTGTTATTTCTGTTCCCACTCAGAGGCAGCCAACATTCTGTGTTTCTCCCCAATATATCTCTCGTGTGAAGTTTGTTGCGTGGTGTGACTTTGTGGTATTCCTTGGCTCCCAATTGCCAAGATGCCCTTGCACTGGAAAACCCTTCCACCAGAGGACCCTAACTCCTAGGGGTGGGCATAAGTTTTCTTTTCTTTCTTTCTTTCTTTCTTTCTTTCTTTCTTTCTTTCTTTCTTTCTTTCTTTCTTTCTTTCTTTTTTAAAAAAGATTTATTTACTTATTATGTATACAGTGTTCTGTTTGCATGTATCCCTGCAGGCCAGAAGAGGGAGCCATCTCATTACAGATGGTTGTGAGCCACCATGTGGTTGCTGGGAATTGAACTCAGCACCTCTGGAAGAACAGCCAGTGCTCTTAACCTCTGAACCATCTCTCCAGCCTGGAGCATAAGTTTTCAACCACGGGAATGGATGAAGAGCAAGGGTCAGTACCTGTTCCCTTTTTTAAATGTTTGTTTTTAATGTATTTTATGTGTATGGATGTTTTGCCTGCATGTGTATCTGTGTACTATGTGTGTTCCTGGTGCCCTCAGGAGGCCATGTTGCCCTCAGGAGGCCTCCAACGGGATGTCAGATCTCATGGGATTGGAGTTATAGACTGCAGTCATGTTGTCGGCGCTGGAGATTGAACCTGGGTCCTTGGAAGAGTGGCCAGTGTTCTTGACCACTGAACCATCACTCCATGTCCTCTTAAAATTTTATTTTTAACCATGTATGGGGGGCGGGATATGTGTATGTGAACGCCCACAGTAGTCAAGGAATTGGATCACTCTTGGACTGGAGCTACACAAGGTTTTGAGCAGTTTTTGCTGTTAACCTCTTAGCCATGTCTCCAGTCACTCCATTTTCTTTCCTTCCTTTTTTCTTTTTTGAGGTAGAGTCTCACTCTATAGTACAGGCTAGCCACCAGCTTCCTATATAGCCCAGGCTGGCCTTGCAAATACTCATGATCCTTATGCCTCATTTTCTCAAGTGCTGGAACTACAGGCATGTGCTACCAGGTTTGGCCTTTTACCTCTTCTTTTTAACACAGAGTTTTGTAGCCCTTGTAGACTAGGCTGGCCTCAAACTCATATTCTCCTGCATTTGCCTCCTGAATTCTGGGATTAAAGGTGTGGGTCACCACACTAAGTAATTTCCCCGATTTTAGGAGGTAGAAATCCAGTGGGAGAAGTAGTTTTATATACAAAAATATAAGTCAAAGCAGACTGTAAAAATGTTAAGATGAATTACAACAATGAAGTGCACTTTCACATATAGGCAATATCTTCCAGCGAGAGTCAGATTTATCATGACAATTTAGTTCTGGCCCTCAGCCTGTTTTCTGATGGGTAAAGTAAGTAAGTGCCATTTACCTTTAGAATTTGTTTTAACACACTAAGTAGATCTGCTGTCCTGGAACTTGCTATGTAGGCTAGACTGGCTTGAACTTGTGGTCATCCTCCTGCCTCTGCCTACTGAGTGCTAGGGTTATAGGAGCACACCACCACACCCTATTAGCGTTCTAATTACAACCCTGTCATGGGGAGTTCTAGTAAAGTAGTACTGTTCATAGCACACAGGTATATAGCCAATGCTTAATAAAAATGGCCATAATTACTTAATCCTCAAAAGAGCAAGGTGGAGCTGGTACCATTTCATCCACCTGCTCCAGGGTCTTCGATATGTAGCCCTGGTTTGCCTGGAAATCAGGAGATCAGCCTGCCTCTGTCTCTAGAGTACTGGGATCAAAGGCATGAGCCACCATGTCTGGCTATGGTTAATTTATTTACAGTTAAGTAAATTCAATCTCTGTGAGACTATTCTGAAGTTATCGAACTATAAAGACGCCAGCCCTGACTTTGCTCTGCAGATCTTTCCCCCAAACTCCTCCACCATAACCATAGAAGAAAAAAAAAAGTGGGGCATGGGGGCCCACGCTTTTCATCCTAGCACTCGGTAGGCAGAGGTTGCGGATCTCTGAGTTCCAGACCAGTCGAAGCTACGTAGAGACCCCTTTCAAAACATCAACCAACCAACCAAACAAACAAACCAAAAACGAAAAAAACCACATTTCCCCGTCTCCTGCTGGAAAGCATTAGGGAGAAGGGTGACGATAAGGGGCAGTAAGTGGAGAAAGTTGAAGACGGAGCACTAGGAGCAGAAAGTCCCTCCAGGGATGGAAGCCGACAAAGTAAAGCTGGAACACACGCTGCAGTTCCTAGGTGCGCGCGACGCCGGTTCACACCTGGGCACGGGGACCGCCCACCGCCTCGGGGGCGGAGAACCTTCGCGCCCATAGCCTATCAGCGCTGCGGGGGCCGAGCCAGTCTCCTCTTCATTGGTGGGGGGTACGGTGACGTCACGCACGGGCGGAAGAGAGCGCCGTGATTGGTTGGCGCGGGGACGGGGTGGGGGGGGTTGCGCTTCGAGTCTGCGCCGAACTTTCTCCGTCCAGGTTTCTCGGCGGTCGTGGGGGTTCCGGGGGGCGTGGAGACGGCTCCGCGGAAACCTGGGTGTTGTTCTCACGGCCGACTCCCGGAGAACCGCTGGCCGGAAGTGATCTGACTGACCGGAAGCGAGGCCTGAGGGGAAAGTGCGGATCCCGCCCCCCCGAGGGTGGAGCTTTCGGTGGACGGGAGCGGAGGGGACGCTCCGAGCAGTTGGCGTGCTGCGCGTCTCGGCGGAGAGGCGGTGTGGAGGGCGCGCTCGGAGCGGCCGGGGAGCTCACGAGCACCGGGGCTGAGCTCTGGCAAGTCCGGAGGAGTGGAGACCCGGGCGCCTCACGCTCCCGAGAGCCGAACCGGAGGGGTTTTTGCCGCCGGGGCACCCGAGGAGCAGCGGGGGTGCAGCCTGCAGCTCAGGCTTGGGGTTCTGGTGCGCCGCGCGAGGGACACGGCTCCGGTGGCGTCCCTGCCGGGTAGAGTTCCGCTCCGTGCCTTTGTCCAGGGCGAGGAAGGAGCCGGGATGGCCTGGGCTCTGAAGCTGCCGCTGGCGGATGAAGTGATTGAGTCGGGGCTGGTGCAGGACTTTGATGCTAGCCTGTCCGGCATCGGCCAGGAACTGGGTGCTGGTGCTTATAGCATGAGGTGAGTGCCGTTTTCCTCAGACCTTCCTTACCTTCTGAATAACAAAGGCTTGGAAGTGGGGGAGGCGGGGGGTACAGAGCTTACAAAGCTGCCTGCAGCGGGGTGGGGAGACTTCTCCTGTTGGTTTGAGTAGTGAGAGGTGTGGGAGAGCTGGAAAAAGACTGTAGGAAGTGTCTACTCTGCGGGGCCCTTGGAAGGAGACGGAATGCCTCCTGATTAGCATCCAGATGGTGTGGGAGGCTTGGGCACTGGCTGTATATGTATATGTGGGTATGCCTGGATTCACGTGAGGAAAGGGTTACCTTGAGCAAGTGAGGGGTGTCTGGGAAGTAGGTGAATTGGGAACTGGGGCTTAAGTTGACTACTTGGGCAAGAGGTCCACACATAGCCGTCTCTTACGACAAACTTGTTATAAGGCTTCTCTTCCAGGGGTTCTGTCTTTAGAAACTTCAGCTGCGAAGTTTTTCAAAAGTGACAAAGAAAGCCATGTGTATTAGTGTAGGTCTGAAATACCCGCACCCTGGCACTCGGGGAATCAGGAATTCAAGGCCATCCTTGGCTACATACAAGGACAGCATGGGCTACATGAAATCCTGTCTCAAAAAAATGTGGCAAAGATAACTTCTAGATGTTTCTAGACACCTGTGTATTGAGCTCATTGTCAGGGAAGGTGGGGTGGAGGCTGTGGTGTAGATGTAATTCTAAACGGTCATATTAAATAAGAAACACAGAGCCAAATACAGAGTTAAAAGCCCAGAGATCGAGCAGTAGCCAAGAGCTAAGACCACCTTATCTTACCACTCGCTGCCCTCCTTCCCCTGAGAGAGAGACCTTCCTGTGTCCTTTTTATTGACTTTCTGTTCTGCCTTCTCATTGGTTCTAAACCCAACCACATGACTTCTTCATCACTGCCTGTCTATACAGATCTCCAGGTCTCTATGGTTGGTACTGGGATTAAAGGTGTGTGTCACTATGCTGGCTGTGTCCTTGAACACAGAGATTTTGCCTGCCATGTGATTGGATTAAGGGCCTGTGCTACCACTACCAGACTTCTGCTTAATGGCTTGCTCTTAGCTCTGATCCCCAGGCAACTTTATTTATTAACATACAAATAAAATCACATTTCAGCACAAATAAAGTATCACCATATTTTCCCCTTCTATTCTAGTAAAAAGAAAAAAAGCAAAAAAGTTATAACTATTATAAGAAAAACTATATACAAATAACTATATACAATATATACCAGCAATAAATACCTAAACAATGTCTAGTCCATTTGCATTGACAAATTCAGAGAAAATAATTCCATTATCTATCCTATTTTGGTAAGTCCAAAATGTACCTGATTGAATTTCTATTCTAACTTATATTTCCAACAGAACTATCTCTCTCTCTCTCTCTTTTTTTTTTCTGAATCATTCCTCCCATGGAATTTATTCAAGTCAGTTTAACTGCAAGTGAGTAGCTACAAGTCTATATCAACCTCATGTTTAACCTTACATACAGAACAATAACCAAAGCATGTCTGCTGTCTTCTAAGATTATTGATACAAAGCCATTTTGCTGTGCAATAGTTATTTTTTTAATTTAAATTTGAAATAAAAATATTTGATTTTTTTTATGTGAGTGTGTGTATCATGTGTACATGAGTTTGAAGAAGTCAGAAGTCATCAAATCCCCTAGAACTGGAATCATAGACTGTTGCAAACCATGTGGGTACTGGGAACTGAACCTGGTCCCTCTGCAAGAACACCATTGCTGGGAACTGAACCTGGAACCTCTGTAAGAACAGCAATTGCTCTTAAGCACTGAGCCAACTTTCCAATGCCCCAGCAGTAGTCATTCTTTATCAGCCTTCCATACAGGCAGAATGTTGCAGCAGTGGTACCAGAGAAGAGAGTACTGTGGGCTGAAGAGAGGTCTTTCTGGAGGAGATGAAACCCAGCACAGAAGCAGAAAAGAAGCGTGGCAGCTGTCCTGTGGAAACTGGGGTAGCTGTTGTGAGCAGCACTTTCCACTCTGTGTTTTACAAAACAGTATTTGGCAGTGGCAGCTTGGGGATGTGAATAACCATGCTGGATTAGACTATGATCAGCTCCGAGAGGACCCAAAGGGAAGAAATACTTAGCTTTCTCTGATGGACTTCCCACAGAACACTCATTAGCATCTTTCAGAATGTCCAGGTTCCAGGTTCTGTGGAAACACCAATAGCATGACTTAACAGAACTATCTTATGTCTTTCAAACTTATACACTTAGACCTCTTTAGTGAATTTCATTTCTAAAATTCTTAACAAGGAAAACTGTAACTATCTAATCTTTAACTATAACTATAACCATCTAATCTTCAACTATAAGTGTAACTATCTAATCTTCACTATAACTATAACTATCTAATCTTAAACTCCCTCAGAAACCCAAGAAGGAAATAATATTACCTTAAAAAAAAAAACAAAAAACCGGAAGTGCACGCAAGTGGCTTTCAAAAAAAATGTGAGTTGACAGAAACAGCCAGCTGCCTGGACAGTCACCCAAGGTTTCTCCACAGCGTTGGCGCATCATCTTCAGCCTATAGGCTTAGCGTATCTGACAGACTCATTTGTGAAGTAGGATGTACACAAAGCCAACAGTTTGACCTCACATTTGGAGAGAGTAGTTCATGTACCAGAAATACCTGAACTCCACTAGTGTCCTGTCATGATTCAGGATTTTAAATTCTGGAAATTGTTGATTTTTTTTTTTTTTTTTTTTTTTTTTTTTTTGGTTTTTCGAGACAGGGTTTCTCTGTGTAGCTTTGCGCCTTTCCTGGAACTCACTTGGTAGCCCAGGCTGGCCTCGAACTCACAGAGATCCGCCGGCCTCTGCCTCCCGAGTGCTGGGATTAAAGGCGTGCGCCACCACCACCCGGCTGATTTTTTTTTTTTTTTAATTCAGCTGTCCATTCTTCTTGGCTCGTGTGTGTGGCTTCATCTCTGCATCCCATTCTTCTCTGCATCCCTCTATTAAATGCCAGTCTACCATTGAGAGGTTAGATTCTGTCAGCTTAGTTACTCTTCAAGAATAACTGTTTCAGCTGCTGTTCCACTGCACATCAGAAGCCATCGGTCCACTGCCAGTTCAGCTGCCTTCAAAGAAAAGGGCACTGTATCTTTTCCGGATTGTAAAGGCCACTTCGGGGATGGTGCCATATTGTCCTGGCCTCAGAAGATGCCTTTTGTTAAAGCCACAACCACACTTGTCTTGGCAAGAATCGGTAGTCCTTTGTTTGGCGTCCTGTCTGTCCATTTTGTCCTGTTTGTCAGCAGTCGAATCAAGGATACTTTGTTGTCCAGTGGCTAACTTTTGCCACAATGAAAGTTAACTCCATATGCAGTTTCTTCAGTGCCCAATTTTTCTCTGAAGTAGATTGGTACTGCCAGAAGCCGACATGTCTCATAGTCATAAAAAAAAGAAAAAATTTGTAAGTTATTAAAACATTTTAAATACCATGTTCTATAGATCTCTGAAGGGTTTGAAGATGACCTGTCTGTCTAAAATGTATCTGCTCAATCTTGAAAACATACCTAATATGACTATAAGTTCAATTGTAATGTCTAACTACTAACTTTCATTTCTTTATACCCTAATAGTTGGTAATAATAACATTCAAGGATTAGCAAATTGCATTACATTGTTAAATGAACAGTATAAGTACAATATCTTGAACAAGATTAGAAATATACGTATAGCATTTTCTAACAATATCAATCTCAATATATATATAATTTGTATACAATATACAAAAATCCAATCCAATGTATTTAAAACTAGTAATTGTCTTTTAAATGTAGATTCAATAATCTATCTTTTTATTTATATCGTATCTATATATCTTTTTTTTTTTTTTTTTCCAGAGCTAAGGACCAAACCCAGGGCCTTGCGTTTGCTAGGCAAGCGCTCTACCCCTATCTTTTTTTTTTTTTTTAAACAAGAACCTTAAATCTAATCTCCTTTGCTTATCCCTTTTTCTAACCCTTAACAACAACTTGTAACCAACCCTCATAAACAATGAAAATTATCCCAGACCCCAAACCCATTAAAAGACCAAAAAGCCACCTGCCCCACACCACCTCTTAGGGAATGTGGGCGTCATATTCTTAAAATTGCTTCCTGCTGGATATGGGCAAAGGCATCTTTATTCTGAAAAGAAAAATTTTGGGTTAATTGTCAAATTCTAGGAAAGATAACTATATCCTTTGTTTTCCAGTCTGTGCATAATGCCAAAGTTCAGGGCTTATCTCAAGTCCTTATTCAAATAGTCTTTGAGACTGGATCATCTCAGCTAGCCATCTCAAAATTGCTCTGAGCAGTTTGTAGTCCAAAGCTGATCTGTAGATGATGTTTGTCAGCTTAGTGGCATTATTATTGTCCACTTGTAATTGTTGTTGTGGGGCCCCATCTTCTTCCTGGAGACTTCAGATTTGATGTTAGGCCTGGCCATGATTTCCTGCAGAAAACTGATAAAGACTCGAACACAAAGACATGTATAGGCAGCTAATTGAAGCCTTTTTTCTAGAATTAGTTAGTACTCTATATGACCATTAATATCTTAACAAAGTTTAAAATATATATATGTATTAATCTTGTAAATTTTGATATAAAGTTCATACTTTAAGAAAAGTTTAAAGAATCAGAATAGAATCAAAGAATTGAGATTAGTAGTAATAGAATAGTCCCTTAAATTTTTTTTTTTTTGTTGTTGTTTGTTTTCTCCTGTCCCATAGCAGAAGATGGCTCTTTCTTCTGGCATGATACAGGGAGTTTGCATTTTCCTTTTAACAACATGCTTGGTTTTAAAGAAGGAGAGAGCCATTCTCCAACTCCAAAGCCAGCTTTACATTTAATTGAACTGGGACTACAAGAAGACCAATAGTGTTAAATGTCTTTAGAGAAGAGCAGAAACAAACATTTAGGAAGACTTATGAAATTTTATAGATGATATACCAATGGTTTTTAATGAAT